CATTTCCAGCTTTTTCTATGATTAATTGGAGATTAGAGTCTTATGGACTTCTGTGCTGTTTTTGAACAGAGATCCTCAGATCTCCACCTCCTGAGTAGCTAAGATTATAGGTGTGAACCATTGGTGCCCAGCTTATTATTATTATTATTAATTATGTCTGAAGTTTGACCTCAGGGCTTTGCACTTGTTAGGCAAGCACTCTTATCACTTGAGCTACATCCCCACCCTCCCTCCTACCTTCCATGCTTTTTAGTTTATTTCTGTCAGTTGTCTCCTTGGCAGATTAACCCATTTGGATCACTATTTTTTGTGGTACTCTGCTAAGTTTTTTTTTTTTAACTTTTTTTTTTATTATGGGAGGAAATTCTGCTAGGTACTACCTTGAACCTAATTGTCTTTGGCCATAGACTGTTTGTGCATCCCTGGGCATCAGATAGAATGACATTTCTTTTGGAAATGGATTGATTCCTGCTTCTGGTAGGAAGTACAAGAGGATATTATTCAGTTTCTCCTGACAAGAAACAGAATCAAAGCAAAATAGCTTGGCGAATAGGGAAGTGAATGCTGCTGCAGAACAGGAGGCCAAGGCTCAGGGAGGAGGAGAGGATGGTTCTGTGGGAAGGCTGAAAGAGCTTGCAGAGTTTCTCCCTATCATCTGCCATAGGATAAGCCTAAGGCATATGGCCCCACAGCTGTAAAGATGGTGTACCGCAGTGGCCAGATACCTTGCTTTCTTGTTCGTATTTTGTGAGTCTCTTTGATGTGTTTCTCTTAACATCAGCGTTTACCCGGCAGCCTCCCCAGCCCCCTTCTCTCCATGTGTTTTTCCCATTCTGGAACCACCTACTGCCAAAGGGGACTGGGTTAGCATCCTTTTAGCTTGAATGGGTGTTGCATCATCAACCACGGGGCTTCAAGTTCACAACTCTTATTCATCTTGGCTAGGCAGAGTAAGGTGCTGGAACCGTGATTGGGTCCTAATCCCCAGGACCTATGAGTAGGTACAGATCACATCAACAATAGGCCCTCTGCAGATGTGATTTGTCAAGACTTTTGCAAGGAGGGCCATTATCCTTGGGTTGATCCAGATGGCCGGGTATAATGACAAGGCTTCTTATAAGAAGAAGGTGGCAAGGAAAATCAGAGTCAGAGAGTGAAGACGTAAGAGCAGAGGTGGAAGTCAGAGAGAAAAGATGCCACAACTCTAGCTCTGAAGATTGAGAAAGGGGCCATAAGACAAAGAATGGAGGCAGCTTTTAGAAGCCAGAAAAGATCCCAGAAGGATCCGTCAACACCTCGGTTTTAGGCCCGTGACACCCATTTTAACATCCAGAACTATAGGACAACACATCTGCATTACCACTGTTTGTAGATAATTTGTTACAGCAGCACGAGAAAACACATACATACTCTTATCATTTCTCTAGACTGAGCATGAATCCATGTAGACCTTTTCTAAGGTGAAGCATCTCATACTTACTTTGAATTTCAATACTCCCATAAAAATACCCAACTTAGGAAATAAAGAAAAGCTAAACTAATCTCTAGTCCTGCTTCCAGAGAAGAGCAAGCAGGCTGATGATTTACTTTCAGAATGCTAAAGGTTGTTTTTGTTTTGTTTTGTTTTGTTTTTGACTGCTGCATTCATCACCAGTGCTAGTGCTGGAAACTCAGAAATAAATAAGACCTTATCCTCGGTCACAAGTGGCCAAGTGTCTCAACCCCGCCATTGGATTCCATAAATATTCTCACTGTCAAGTTGAATCTCTTCCAAATGTCTTCTCTTTCTCTTTGTAGCTACAGCCAGTTTCCTCTGATTCAAACCTACTGATTTTTTTTTTTTAAGTTGGGGCATGGGTCAGGAGAGAAAAAGAGGTCGTGAAGCCCGTATATAGTTAGACCTATTAATAGGGTACCCATGATATTCCGAGATCAGCAGATTCCAGCCCTGGGTGCTGGATGTCATCTGCCTCCTGCCCTTGTGCCAGTTGGACAGAGATACTGCTGTTTGGATTGGGGTGTGTGTGTGTGTGTGTGTGTGTGTCTGTGTGTCTGTGTGTTTATTTCCTGCCTTCTATGGAGCTTCCTGTTCTGCAGCAGCAGAATACTGGTATATCACATACATTGTGATAAAAAAAAAATTGCACGACTGTTTCATAGTTCCCCTGCTTGGAGGAAAGACTTGAGTTTTCCTGAGGATGAAATAAATCTGTGAAAAATAATCTTTGATACTCGGGTGGAGAAATGGAGTTGGGGGGGGGATCAGTCTTTGATTGGATCTTTTCCAACCTCCTAATTCCATGCCCATTTCCTTGGGCTTTAAGCCAATTAGTCCCCCTCACTGAGCTCTGTGTAGTACCTTAGCCAGGTTGGCGTTCACCTTATGGTAATAATTAAACAGCTTTGGGTGTCAGGAACCAAAATTTGGGAGCTGGTTGTACAAAATTCTAATACCCAAACTAGTGTGTGTATGTGTGAGTTTGGTATAGTGTTTTTTCAGCCCCTTCCCATCTTTGTCTGCGTGGATTGCACCAACTCTGAAGATGGAGCTTGCTTGAGTTTTCCTTACCAGACATAGAACTTGAGGCACTTTTATTTGAGGTACTTTTCTTGAATATGAATTGGGCATGATAGTAATACCAGTGCATCAGAGAATATTGTGAAGGTTGAATGAGTTTAAGTGTGCAAGGTACTTTGCTATTACCCAAACAACCTGAAGCACCACACAGTGGCACATCTTCCCATGGCTATGAATATCATTCTCTAGCATTTTAAATGGCTATGCACTAGTCCATTGAGTGGCTGTGTGCTGTAGCTTATTTAACTAGATTCCTATAATGGGATTTTGTTTCTAGGGTTTAAAAAATAATATAAACAGTATTTCCATGACTACCCTCAGAGGTAAAAATTTGTTCTCATCCTTAATTATTACCTCAGGTAAAATTTCTAGGCTTTAGAATTGCTGGATCAAAAAGGATACATATTCTTAAAGTATTTCTTGATAGTTGCTACTGAATTTTTCCCTCCAGGAAAGTAATAGTCCTACCAGCAATGAATGTGTGTGCCAATTTCCTTGTGTGGCCATGTTATTAACTTTTAATCAAATGAAGGCCCAGGAAAGAAAAAAAAAAAAAGGAAGATATTTCCCTGGGGATAAACTGCTCCTCATCCTTGCTTATAAGCAATAAAAACTCTAAGAACCTGGAGATGGATCACGAAGGCAAGTAGCGCATGTGAGCATAGCGCCCTCTTCTGGCTGTCCCTGGTACAGGCAAGATCAGTGGTAGATGGCATTGCTGAGATCAGCACCAGTAACCCTTTAGGCTTTGGGTGAAGGTGCAAGGAAGTGAAGGGCACACCATTTTAAAAAGATTTGTAGTTGCTTAAAAAGGCAGCCTCTGTTGGCACTTCTTGCTTGAATTCTTTTGAGGCACTGGTTCTCAGCAGTCACCTGGTATCATCTGGAGACACATTTTAGGTGTCGTAACTCTGAGGGGAACAGAAAGGGGACCTTGCTGTGGGCTTCTAGTGGGTCAAGGCCAAGGATGCAGCTAAACATGTAACAGTGCAGCCCACAGCAAAGGTCAGTAGTGTTCAGATTGGGAATCCTTGACTTTGAGGAATAGCAGAATTTCTCTGAGAAAATTACTTTCTTTTTATTTTTCAGGCTAAAATAAAATATAGAAATTTGACTATTGAATTTGTTGCAATAATAATAATAGTTGTTGTTGTTGAGTTGTAGAAACCTGTTAGCTTTACAGAATAAAATGGAAAATGGTCAGACTGAAACTATAAGTCAATATTTCTCTAAGAAAGAGCAGAACAAAATACAACCCATATTAAAAGTGTGTTAAAAAGAGAGGGTTTTTTCTTCTTCCTGTTGGTCTGACTTGGTTAAACCTGCTGTGAATTCCTGTGCCCTCCCCTTAAAGGCCTTGTCTGTTAAAAATAGTGCTTTATTGACACTTTCCACTGATCTCACAGTGCTGGTGTTTTCCTAACATTTCTAATTGTGCCTTCCAGTGTTGGGTGTGCAATTAGCATCTGAGACTGCAATTAACTCCCCTCCCTACCCCCCCCCCCCCCCGCCAGTAAATGCTGACTCAAGCCTTGTGTGTAAGAGGAGGAGAGGAAGAAGAACTTGAAGAATAATCTTGGAGAAGGGTGTGCCTGAGGGAGCATGTGGCAAGAATTTCGGGAAAATCAAACCATGCCTCAGCTTCCTCCCACATTTTCTGAACTTGAAGACTTTTTATCACTGGCGTCACCCAACCCTGATTCCAGAATGTCCTGGCCTTCCATTTGTGCTAGCCTTGCAGTTCCCTAAATCACTTGTATTTTAGAACTCATATCTTGAAATAATGAACTAGAGTGGTCCCTAAGCGATTCTAAATGTTGAACATTGTTTGACCAGAAATGGGGATGGAGGACCTCTTTCTCCTAAATATCAGATAGTATTTTGATTGTCTTCTACAAAGAAGTTTTTGTGTTTTTTTCAAACTACAAGTCCCACTGGTGGGTAAAATTGATTTCTGACTCACCCGCATTACAAAAATAAGTAGATTAGAAAATGCCAGATCATGGCTGGGTCTCTGTGGCTCACATCTGTATTCTTAGCTGCTCAAGAGGCTGAGATCTGAGGAACATGGTTTAAAGTCAGGGCAGGAAAGACTTTGAGACTCTTACCTCCAATTAAGCACCACAAAAGCTGGAAGTAGAGCCATGGCTCAAGTGGTACAATGGTACTTTGGAGTAAAAAAGCTGGAGGCCAGTGCCCAGGACCAGCACAGCAGTGAAACTATCAGATCATGTCATATGTAGGAAGAGGAACCTTAGTTGTGGTAATGTACAAACATCACATATGTGTGTGTTTACACATGGATATACATGTCCATGAGGTCCAGGTTGGAAGGCAGTGGCTTCTATGTTTTACATGTGGTTAAACTCTCCAAGTCTTGGGGATAGCTGTCCCTCACTTGTGTCTCCATTGTTTTTTCAGGTGGTACCAGGGAGATCGGCTCGGCGCTCACCAGGATGTGCATGCGACACAGAAGCATAGAAACCAAGCTCAGGCAGTTTTCAAGGTGAGAAGCATGCTTTCCCCAGATCCCAGACCCACTTGCTGGTTGCAGGGGAGGGAATCAGTCATAGTATAGTGTTCTTCACCCTGAGTAGCACTGGCCTCGCCCATTATTTAAATCTCCACAGTGCACAGTCCATTTCCTGATGCAGCTCAGTCACTGAAAGAGTCTGTGTTGGGCATCTGAGTGCCAGGCGCTGGTTTAGCACTGATCGCACAGTGGAGAACCAGTGGAGACCCCTGACCCTGAGAGCCTGTTCTTCCCCATGGGTCATCTCCATACCCTGGTCTTGATCTCTCTTTGCCTCCTACAAAGTGCGGAGCTGATGTATTCTGCTCTGAGCCCCTACACCTCCTGCCCTACAGGCGCCTCTTCCTTTTTTTTTTTTTAATTATTGTTATAAAGTTGATGTACAGAGGGGTGACAGATAATGAGTACATAGTGTCCAGTGTGTACAATGGCTGCATTTGTTCACCTTTGTTGCAGGGGCCTCTTAGAAGGAGGGATTGTGCATTAAAGAGGGACATGTACTATACACCGACTTGTGTTCTTGCCCCACTGAGAGAGGAGGGGTAGGGCACAGAACCCACCCTGTCATCTAACAGCTGTAATTTGAAGTCACGAGATGCTCAAAGGAAATAGATCGCTTTTCTCCAATTAGATTAGCCTAATGCAGTAGTGCCCCTATAGTCCTGTTTGGGAGAGTCCACAGAGAAAAGGCGGTATACCTGGAGATTCCTGTATTTCCTGGATGATCCAGAAGCTCAGAGGACAGCCTGAGAAATTTCCAGATCTGTTGTTCATCCTTCTTTTTCTCCAGGCTGTGCCCCAACTGCTGTACCTTCATGACTCTTAGTCTTGCTTGCATATCAGAACCTTGGACCTTTTTTAAAAATAGCAGTGCTTGGCCCTTACTCTCAAAGTTTTTATACAGGACATTGGGAAGCCCTTTGGGACTTCCTGTTGGTGGCTGTGGGCCCCATGTTTCTGCAGTGTAGCAGAAGAAATGAGAAGAGGGCTCACTCGAGCCAGTCCCAGTTGTAGAGCTCCTTAATGAATAGTCATGGAGTTGAGCATACTGAGAGCAGAGCTGTCCAGGACCTGGGATTTCAGTGTGAATGTTGGCTTATCTTACCTTTACTTGCTCCAAGAATTGCAATTTAAGCATGTTTTGACAACCAGATAGGAGTCTTGACAACAGGAAGTATCTGTTTTAATTTCTTCTTTTCTTTCTCTGGGGGCCAAAAGTGCTCTGATTGATTGTCTGATCAACCCACTTCAAGAGCAGATGGAAGAATGGAAGAAAGTGGCCAACCAGCTGGACAAGGACCATGCGAAAGGTGTGTGGCATGAGGTTGGCCTGTCATAGCTCTTATGGTCTCTGGAGTTGTGGGGTTGCTGGCGTGGCTCAGTGCTTCTGCTGGGTTTATTGGTGTCACCTAGTCAGGACTCTCCCTGTCCCTGCTTTGTCCCTGCTTCTTCCGTGGGTGTTTTAGTCAGTGTCAGGGACAAGGCTTCGAAAGTAGTCACATTGCAAGATGGAGGGTTGGGGTGGGGGCTTTTGTTTGTTTGATGATATTTGGGTTTTAAACTTAGGGCCTCACATTGGCTAGGCAGGCACACATTTTACCACTTAAGCCACCCCACCAGCCCCTTGTTATACACTGATTCTTTTTTTAGATAGGGTCTCACTTTATTTCTCGGCTGGCCTAGCCCATGATCCTTCTGTTTATGCTTTGCTACATAACTAGGATGACAGGTGTGCGCTACCATGCGCAGTCACTGGTTGAGAAGGAGTTTTGTAAACTTCTTTGTGGGCCTGGCCTCCAACTGTCATCTCTTAAGCTCTACCTCCTATGTAAGCTAGGATTACATACCCTGAGACATCATGCCTGGCCCTGGATGTCTTTCTTTTTTTTTTTTTCTCACAGCTAATATCCTTGTTGTTTAGTAGCATTGCAGTCACTTGAATTAAATGTGAAATGAAACAGCAAGTTACAAAAGCAGACATTTACGCGTACGGCATTTCAGGGTATTTTGAATGTTAGGATTCTAATGATACTGGCTTACCTTGAATCAGCTGATGGAAACCAGCCATTTTCATTATGCAAGGCATAATGCCTTATTAGTTATCAGGGATTTGACAGTGTAAGATGGAGCTGGGTGTCATCTGCAGAGGAAATAGTACTGCAATACACTTGCAAGTGACATTGTTTTGTGTTCCCTTTGCACAGGCCAATGAGACTGTAGGAAGTCTCGTTCCTTATTGAAGTCATTCTGAATTTCTTTTCTGAATGAGGTCTTAAGTACATTGCCTCGATGGCCTCTGTCTAGACAGGTCACAGGGGCCCAGAGTCTCAACACCCAGGCTTTGTGAGAAAGCACTTCCTCCATCTTTATGAAATCAGCTTTAACTTGGAGCAAGACCCCAGTGGCAGCCATGCAAGAGTACCCTCAGCGGGTACAGGGAGAATGAGGAGCCCAACAATTGGTGCTTCCTGCTAGGAGGAGGAGAGAGCTGTGTGCAGGACACAGAATGGGCCTCCTCAAGATGAGCCTAAGCTTGGTTGAAGAATTAGAAAATGGGATGCTTTAGTGGGAGGATGTGACTTTTGTCACATTGAATTTGAGGCGATGGGGAGGTGAGTTAGTCCGAGAGAAAGCCATACAGAGAGAGTCAGGGAAGATGGAGGAGTCCTCCGAAAAGAAGAGAAAGCCGCTGACAGTGGACTTCAGCCCTCCTCTGGGTGGACTTCTACACTGTGAAGGAGTCAGGAGTCAGAGCGAGTATGGTGGCAGTGGATGCTTGGACATGGTGTGTGTTTTAAATAATGACATTTTCCCTCAAGGAGGCCTGGTAGGGAGAAACCATAGTTCATTTTGTTGGTGTGTGTGTGTGTGTGTGTGTGTGTGTGTGTGTGTATCTGACTGTCTGTCTTTCTGTCTGTCTGCCTGCTGGTGTGTGTGTGTGTGTGTGTATCTGACTGTCTGTCTTTCTGTCTGTCTGCCTGCCTGCCTGCCTGTCTGTCTGTCTGTCTGTCTTTAGCCTCTTCATTGTGAAATGTTGTGAGATTTTCATCATAGTGTATTTGGATCCAGCTATTCGCTGCACATGTCAGAGTTTATGCTTCCAGGGATCAAGGTGGCGGCCGCTATGGGAAAATCATCTGTTGAATAACCAAAGTGATAAAAATTATTTGATATTCTATTTTCTCTTAGAATATAAGAAAGCTCGCCAAGAGATAAAAAAGAAGTCCTCAGATACGCTGAAACTGCAGAAGAAAGCCAAAAAAGGTAACTCCGAAAATTCTATTACTGATACTGTGACTGAAAGCAACGAACCCAGGCTGGGTGTATTCATGGCAGAAAGTGTTGGATTCAGAGCCTGTTCGTGCAGGATGCCCGGGAGAACAGATATGATCTATCTGAGTTAAAGTTCTTGTGGTGCAGATGCATTGATTCCGAATTCTTGCTAAGTGGTACTTGACTGAACCTTCCCCAACCTCTGTCTTCACAATCTGACAGTTTCCATGCCTACTGTGCTTTGTAATGAAACCTATATATTTCTTACAAGCCTTAGGCAAGTACAAGGATGCCTTTATGCAAATGTTCTCTAGTAACTATCACAGAAATTATGTCATTTTTTTTTCTCCTCCATCATTCATAGCCTATAATCTCAGAAACCCTCAATTAAGTCTTGTGAGCGTGCTAGAAATGGCTGCTGTGGGAACTGCGTGCCTGTGCTGTTCAGGGGGATTTCACATGTGTTCACATGCTGAGATAGAGCTCAGTTCACCTGGAAGGGAAACCACAATGTCCTCCCCCTGCCTCTGCCCATTAATATCACCTGACCCACCTATACTCCTCCCACGCAGATGGGAGTTTGGAGAGAAAGCTGCATCCGCTTAACGGCTCTCCTAGCACCTTACTGAGAGACCTAAAATATAGGAACCCACGGTTGATCTGGAGCAGATGACATTCCTTCCAGATGATTCTTGGATGATGTTTAGTGTTAATTTGGGCCAACAACTTTATTAGGAAAAGATCACGAAGCCCTTCAACAAGCAGTTCTTATTTGGAATTAAAAGCAAATACTGGAGGAAGGGATGGAAAAGTGGAGGCTCTGGTGTAGGGGGAGGGGTGATGTAAGTTTTAACATTTAAAAAGTGTCTTTTTTCCCTCAGTTCTCACAGAGTCCATTTTAAGAGAAAGGCAGGATTTGCGCCTACAGTCAGATTGTCTTTCCCTCTTGGATCTAGCCGTTTCTTTTAGGGTTTATTTTTCTGATCTGGTCTGTCTCAAATTTAAATTCTAACAAGGCCACCTGGGAGATGGAGCTTGGATAATAATAGGGTTTGTAGCCAGTAACATTTTAGGGCGTTGTTTGTAAATTTAAAATGGCTACCATCTTCCATGAGGTCCTGGGAAGAACAGGTTGGTGCACTTCCTTGACAGCTTGGCAGCTTTGAGTTAGGAGAGGTTAATGGGCTTGGAGAGGTAGCCTCAGGGAAAGATGTGTGGGCTAAGGAAAGCTTGGGGAATTTGCTAAAAAGGATGAGGTTAAAAAAGAAAAGTAGCTGTATTCTCTTAGCTCTTCTGTAATTCTTTTCCAGAGGCAAGAGAATCCCTTTATCTAATTGGACAGCTCTGATGACTTTGAATGGCAGAGTCCTCACCTGCCACTTGAAGTCTTTAGAGCTGCGCAATTAACAGAATGTTGACCCTCTGGGTGAGGCCTGATAGGTTGATCACAGTGTGCTATGATAAGCAGTTTTGTGGGAGTCAGGCCTGCTTAGCATGGGCCCAGGCTGTCTGGGTGGTAGCAAACTGCTCAGGCTGGATAGAAGACTGGACATTCAGGGTGCTGGGCTGTACTGCACATGAAATGGAGCTTGAGAACAATTGGCATTTGAGTTGTGAGGTTTCTTGGTTTCTAAAATGACTATTTCTTCCACCCCAACCACATATGTATCCAGGGGCCTCAATTCGCATATCCTATCCTGCCTAGTGTGTTCTCTTGTCCTCTGGATCGGACAGCTCAGTTGCTTGTAGTGTCCTGGATCGCTTTCTAGTTACTTCAGGACAGCTAGAAAACATTTTTTTTTAAATTATGTTACCTTTCCCTAAAATACCTAGGTGCATTCCCATCCCCCTCACTCTCCACGCCCTCTCTCCTCCCCCCCCCACTCATATTTATATCTTATGGGAAATGAACATAGCATTCCAGAAGGTACCGGAGTCGCCACACTGAGCACACACGTGTAGGTGATCCCCCAGCAGACATGTTTTAAAGCAACTTGGGCTATGCTATAACCTGGTTGGGTGAGTGTGCTGGCTGGGCTGGAGACAGGCAGTCCTCAGGCTTAGGGGCTTAGGGAAGTTCTCCTCTGGGCCTGAGGTCCTTATCAACAGGTAGAGATAACAAAGCAGGAAGTGGGGAATGATCTCTGCTCTGGTGGTGTCACCTGAGTCCCCCTCCTGCCGCTGCCGCATGTTAGCTCATTGCTGGAAGTAAGAGAGGACCAGCTGGAAGTAAGAGGAGACCAGAAATAAGAGACATTTTAAGTTGCTTACCTTCTTTGGTCACCTTTCTGTATGAAATCACTTAACTAACTTCTCTATTATTATTATTATCATCATCATCATCATTATTTGTTCATGCATGTTTGGTAAGTGATCAACCACTGAGCCACATACCCAGCCTCCTTATTATCAGCTTAAGTTTAAAACATGGTGGGGGGAGGTAGGGGGGGTTGAGATAGTGGCTCAGTGGTAGAGTACTTGCCTTGCGTGCATGAGGCCCTGGGTTTGATTCCTCAGTACCAAATAAGCAGAAAAAGCTGGAAGTGGTGCTGTGGCTCAAGTGGTAGAGCACTAGCCTTGAGCTGAAGAGCTGAGGGACAGCGCCCAGGCCCAGAGTTTAGGCACCATGACTGGCAAAAAAAATAAAAAAAAAAAATAAAACATGGTTTGGGGATGTAGCCTTGTAGAAGGTAAGTTGCCTAGTATGGGCAGGACCCTGGGTTCAATCCATAGTACCAAAAAATAATTATAATTAAAATTGTGGTAAAGCCTTCTGTTTCAATATACAACTACTAGAACTGGGGCTTGAACTCATTCTTGTTCAGCATGCTTACTCATGGCTGGCACTCTACCACTTGGGCCATGTTTTTAGCCTGGCTTTTTTGCTGGTTAATTAGAGATGGAGTCTCATGAACTTTCCTGCTTTGAACCAGGATTCTCCATATCTGAGCTTCCTAAATAGCTAGGATTTATAGGCATGTGCCATCAGTACCCAACATTTTTTCCCCTCCATTTTTTTTGGTGTGTGTCACCTTAAGCTTTGTTCCCTAGGATTCTATAGATATTTATGAAAAAATCACACTTGAAAGGTTTTCTTGCCAAGGTATCTGAATTGGCCTTTTCTAGATATGTTCTAGGTATATTTTCTTTTTAAACAAACTCTCAGTCTTTAGGAGTGATAATACTAATGAAGACAATTTCTGTTCAAGTGAGAAGGGAAGAATATTAGCCAGACAGGAAAGGGAAACTTGAATGTCTGATTGTCTGATAGGCTGTCCAATACGTGACCAAAAGGTAAGGCTGATGCTACTGGAATACCAGTTTGACTATATTGTTTTCCTTTTTGTGTCAATTGTGTGTCCTGCACTTTCTCACCGTGCGCCTTCTTGACAGTGGATGCTCTGGGTAAGTCTACATCCCAAATCTCTGGTGGCTGGTCACAGTATGGCTCTTGTTGTGGGTTTACCCAAGTTTTCTTTCCGGCTCAGAACAATCAATTGTGCCTACTTAATTTCCTGTAGCTTTAAAGAAAATTGCGTGTGTCTTTTAATAATTTCCTTTCTTGGATGTTTCGCCATTAAAAGTGTTAGTACTACATTCTTCAATCTGTTGCATCTTTGTGATTCAGAATTAGACTCGTGGAAAGAAGAAATACCAATGAAATCAATACATTTATGCATACATACCTAAGTATGCATGAATGTATGGATCTACTAGATACATACATGCGCATGCCTGTGCACACACATCACACTAAATAACTCCTCAGAATAATTTCTAAATGCTAATGACTCACACCTGTAATCTTAACCACTCAGGAGGCTAAGATTTGAGGATCACGGTTGGAAGCTAGCCTGGGTAGCCTCTTATCTCTAGTTAACCAGCAATAAGCTGGAGTGATGGTTTGGCTAAAGTGTTGTTAAAGCATCAGCACTGAACAAAAAGAAATCATAATAATAAGTCAAGGTACAGCAAGAAGCTCTGAGTTCAAGCTTCAGAACTGGTGTACACATACAATTCCTAAGTTATATTTGGCCATATAAAGTTTAAAAAAATCTTTTTCTGTCTGCACAGGACCTTATAGTTCTTTCCAAAACCAAACATTCATTTTTTTTTTAAGCCTCAGAAGTATTTCTTATTCCAGCAGAGTTTGTGAAATATTTCATTTAAACGTATCAGATCTTTAAATTCACTGCTCATAATGATTCTCTGGGTGAATGTGGGCCCCCACTGTGGACGATCATGCCAATGAATTGTAAGTTGCTTTGGAGTCTGTGCTGTTCTCTGTGCCGGGAGGGAAGGTCTGTCTGAGTGTCCTGTGACGCTCCTGCCTAAGCGTGCAGCCTGTCCTCTGAGCATTTTACTGGAATCGGATTTGGTCATCCAGGATGGCTGCTGTCTTGTCCTGGGGGACACAGTTCTGCCTCTACATCCCCTTGTGATGTTGCGCTGGTCAAATCCCTTCCAATCCCTTCTCGGTGTTGTGATTATGAAACCACCTGAACAGTTTCTAGAAAACATTTTGGGGGAAAGGTAAGATGCACCCACATTTTTGCTTACTGAGGTAACATCCATATCAGCTGAAAGTGGCTTTTATATTCATAATATTATGAAACCATCACCATTACCTAATTTTTATTACCCCCAATGACCCCCCCATACCTACTCAACGTTCAGTTCCTATTCCATCCCATCCCTCTCACCCCCCAGCCCTGGCCTCTCCCCCCCCACCCCACTGCTTTGTGTCTCGATTTGCCTCTTCTGGATGTGTTATATAAATCAACCACACAATATGGCACTTTTGAGGATAACTGCTTTATTCAAGTTTTACGAGGCCCTTTCTGAGATGCTGGCATGAGTTGGTCTATGGGATGAACAGAGCATCTTACTTATTTGAACTGAAGTCGGTAGGTAAGTTTGGAATGAATGGAGAAATCACACAATCCTTTGGCATTGTGTCTCCAGATTCTGCCTCATCTTTAGTAAGAGACATCCTTGAGAGACATTTCTTTTGGTTTAGTTCCTTGTGTTGATGAGAACAGGTTTCAGAGGCCGAGCCACAGTGCTGTATCAGTAGCAGGAACATAAGGACACAAGGAAAGCCCGGTGATCTGAAGAGACTTGATTTCAAAACAAATATAGAAATCTCCATTGTAATGAGCTTTGATAATAGTTACAATGTTCTTTAAGCTGGGGATGTGGCTTCGTGTGTACCAGGCTCTACTTTCACTCCCTAGCACCACCAAAAAAAAAGGAGGTAAGAAGAGAAAGGTGTGGTTTAGAAAGTGGGAATATATATGATGCATGTATGTATACATATATAGAAGGAGAGAGGGAAAGAAAGGATAGACAATGAATTGTTTAGACCAAATAGCGCTATTAGCCTTAAACCTCAGCATCCTGTTGTAAATTCCACAATGAAAGGAATTTACAACTCATTGAAGGTATGTTTGCCTGGGAGGACATAACCTATTTCCTCCAGGGACTTGGGCTCCCTGAAATCTGGGCTTCTCAGGTCTGTAATGAACATCAGCAAAAGGCATAGCTTGGGGTTCAGAGGTGGGCACACAGGATACTCATATAGTTGGGGCACAGGAGCCGGTGAAGGGTCAACATGTCCCAGAGGGGTTCTCATGGGCAGCATGGCTTATGCTCCAGGGACGGACTTGAGGCAGGCTTCCGTTCCAACCAGGTGGACCACCCTCCAAGCTACTAAGCTGTCCTGGACCTTGCCTCCACCCACCTGCCTCCAGGATGGCCCCATCACGGGGCCTCATGTGCAGTCAGACCCCAAACTGGATCATGCAACTCATCCCAACGTACTGTATCATCCTTGCTATCTGGGAAAAGGCCCATATATACTGACTGTTCCTGCCAGCTGTGGTTTAAGCATCCTTGGCTATGTCCAGCGTGCGCAGTCACGTGTGTACAAACACACACACACACACACACACACACACACATCCATGCAGCATTTCACTCATGCTTACAAAACCCACTGACACAATGCACAGTGACCCTAAAGCCTGCAGTCCAGTGCACCCTTTGCCCTGCCTTGTGTCTGAGTCCCCTCCAGGCCCTGCTCCTGTGATTATTGAAGAGGGCTGGTGTAGGGCACCCTCTTCCCGCAGGATGTCAGAGGGGAGGGGAAGGTCTGACTGTGGCCAGAGGCTGAAGGCAGATGAGGAAATACCAACAGCTGGCAGACCCTCCAACATGGCAGAAGCCAACTAGTAAGATTTTCCCTCTCAGATCAAGGGTGACCATCAGGAGCCCAGGGAGCTCCTGCATGGCGCTGCTGCATTTAGGATGAAAACAGTTGTCAGAGGCGGCCGTGCTCAAGCCAAACAGACTCCCCTGGAAGCCTGCAACTGTGAAGCCTCTTCCTTTGCAGAGCTCCTCTCTGCCATCCTGGCCCCTTGAGTACCTTGTATGTGACTTGGGGACAAAGTTTTCCCTGTACTCAGCAACTGGGACTTGCATCTGGCTGTGTTCAGAGGCCACACTTCACAGTGTGGAGTCACAGCAGGAGCTGGGTGCTTTTCTGGGCATTCATTTTGACCGAACATAAAACAGGAAAGAATCACAAAGGACAGCTTGCTCGGACCACTGATTTCTTTCATGGTGTAGGCCCAAATATGTATTTTTAAAAATTAGTTCACACCATTCTCACATATTATAGATAAAAAACTATAGCACCAATGTTTCTGTTTGTTATAGACAAAGAGCTGGGGGTGGGTGGGCAGCTAGGAAGGAAGGGACTGGTTTTCCAGGGAAGGTGAAGTTTCCCTGGAGAAGGAAGTGCCTAGCAGACTCTAGAAAGTTGAATTAGGAAGAGGAAGGGCACCCGCTGGTGGCCCTCACCTGTGATCCGAGCAACTTAGGAGACTGAGATCCAGAGGATTATCATTCAGAGCCAGCCAGCAGGGAAGTTTGAAACACTCTATGCAACAAACAGCAAAAATCCTTGGATATCAACTAGGTGGTATTCGTATTCATATCTCATAGGTAAAGGGATACTAAGGTACAGTACGCTGAACGAATAATAGAAATTAAGTTTGTCTGCAAAGCATGCCATTTGAGCACATCTTTCTTTTGATTTGTGGTTGTTGTTTTTGCCCACTTTGGAGAATCAGTCAAGCCTGCCAAAGGGTATTAAGAGTAGATGACTTGGATAAGGATAAGAAGATGGCACCTTTCTGATGGGAAAAGAGAGTTACTAGTCAAAATAGAATCTCCAGTGTCACATTTCATGTCCACTTCAACATTTACACCGTGTAGCTCAGTGTTTCTATCCCGTGTCAGTGTTTCTATCGTGCATTGCACTCAGTTTTGAATGGCATCAGTTGTTCAATGTACTGTTAGTTTCTCGACCAGGAAAAGAAGATAAAAGATAATTACCCACTAAACTCTTGACACACCATTGGTTGGCCAGCCACATTCTGATTTGTGAGGAGTAGAAATCTGAACAAATAGAATGAAATAAAGAGTTTGTATGTGTTTGAGGGCAAATGGGAATCATTGAAAAGATTCTGATCACTTTTTCCAATGTCTGTCTCAAAAGAAAGAAATGCCTTCCGGTTTTTTTTGCTAGCCCCTGGCAGCAGTTTTGGCTCCAGGCAGGCCGGAGGTGCTTTTTCCTATCTGCTTCTGGCACAGCCATGAAACTCACAGTGTGGGCTGCAGAGTGGAGGCGGGGCAGTTCCTGATGATGTTAATTACCCTAGATCAGCTTTTTGATTGGGCTCTTATCAGAAGACCAGGGATGTTGAGCTTCTGCCATCTTGCTCTGAGCATTTGTTTGCTGTGATTAGCCAATATAAATATGGGCTTCTGGTGGAGAAAAGATCTAAGGTTGGGTTCTACTTGAGCCTAGTAAGTGGCTCAGTTGGCCGTTGTGCAGGATACATGGTCTGTGTCAGTCTTATTTCCCAACACTGGAAAAAGGTAATTAATGCCTGCCTTGAATGTTTATGCAGATTTAGGGATATATAGTGTAGACGTTGGGAACGTTTACTGCAGAAAACATTGTCAATTCTCCTTAACTGAAGTATACATTTCAACTTCCAGGGTGTTGATTTGTCCCCTGACATTTTGCCTATTGCTAACACTTTGTCTAAGTGTGTTTTCTATAGAGAACCGTCATTTATTTCCTGGTCTATAAGGGCCTCCTGGCTGCTGATTGAGAGTTTACCATCGTGAGGACAATCTCATGTAGAAACTGGGGGGCGGGGGGTAGGGGAGGGAGAGGTGAGTTTCCCAAGAATGACTTGGATTTTACCAGCAGGTAAAAACCAATTCTTTGCTCAGGAATTTTGCTTGCAAAGTCCATCTAAGGCATCTAAGCCCTCCTTCCTTTGTCTGGCTGCTTGGCAGTTCTGGAACTTGCTGGTCCCAACGTGTTA